CATTTTTTTCCTGCCTCTAATTCCAAATGTTGAAATTGGCTAATCACCATGCTCAGAATATCATTCTGGATCTTTCATGCATACCTAATTGCTTTGATCATAAGGTAGCAAGACTTTGGTTTCACTGAATCTTTCATACAAATTAAAAGCTGGTCTCAGAGAGTACTTAGATAACTAAAAGAATATAATTAATTCTATATGCACATATATAGTACATCCAGAAACTGGGCTTCAGAGTTTTATGCGAGTGAGCCATATTTATTTGCTTGTCTCTACATCAATACTCTTTGTACTTGGTTGGCATTTTTTGCCTAAATGAGACATACATTTATTGTGGGCAATAAATAGGCTTCCAAACTCTTCACAAGCTTTTAAGAAACTCTTATGATGCATATTTCATGAAGTGGTCAGGCCCAGAAAACAGAATTTTGAATAAAAATTATTCAGCTTCTGAAATTTCATGCCCTTAGAAAGAATAGCATATATTCTTTATTTTATTTTAAGTTCTGGAATACATGTACTGAACGTGCAGGTTTATTACATAGGTATACATGTGCCATGGTGGTTTGCTGCACCTATCAACCTGTTATCTAGGTTTTAAGCCCTGCAGGCATTAGGTATTTGTCCTAAATATTCTTTAGGAAAAAGACATTTAGAGGCTAAAAGCTTTCTTGTATTTGTGACACTATGAAGTAGTAAAGTTTTTTGGCAACAAAACATGCAAACCTTTGGATTCGCTACAGAGTAGTTTTTTAAACCACTGACAAAAACATAAGACTTACATCTACTAAACTTTAAAACGAAAAAAGGAAAAAACACTACATACAACTTCTATAATCATTCTTGGTGTTCAGTACCTCCTCTCGTTCTCAGGAACATACCTTTTCCCATTGTGGGTCAGCATTTTCTACAAGCAGAGGAAGTGTATCTTGAAATGCTTTCTGTAGGCAGCCCTTTAGTTTTTCAAAATATTGCACAGACATCCATTTTGAAGAACAAGTCGACATGATTTCCAAAAGCTGCTTGTCCTCAGAATCACTGACGTGCTCCTTTTGGGTATCCCTTAAAAGAACCCCAAGTACAGTCAGGATGTCTTCCTCATACTGATAGATTTCCAGTTGGATCCGCTTGGCTTCCTGCATAGTCCATTCTCTACGACTCTGGTCTAGACATGTTTGTAATTCTGTCTCCTTCTGAAGAAGCAGTTCAGTTTTTTGTTTCATAAAGTCTTCTTTAGCTGCCGCAAGCACCTCATTAATTTTATTTCGGTGATCATCCAAAAATTGCCGGTAATCTTGCTCATTTTGTTCTTGGATTCTGCGGATTTCTTCCTGCTTTTCTTTGTTCCACTCACTCCGAGCCTTCGCTAACTCAGCCCTGATGACCACAGGGACTTCTTCGTTCTTTAGTTCGAGTTCCCTCTGAAGAGAATGAATCTTCTCTTCCAATTCCGTTCCAGGAAGTATATTTTTCTTCATATTTTCAAGCTCACTCTTCCATTTCTCTTTAGCTTCAGAAACAGCAAATGATATCTAAAGAACATAACAACATGCATTTTAAAAGTCTTTATGATTCTCCTCCTTTGCAAAAAAATTAAAGAAACTATTTGGTTTAACCTCTGAAGCTAAAAAATTTAAAATCAAAATTAAAAGGAAATGTGATTTCAGATAAGACATGCTTCTAGAAACAGTAATACTTACACTATACTTAAACTGGTCAAAATATATACATAAATATGTGCTTATGTGTATGTATAGACACATAAACACTCACACATATAATTATATAACTAGCCAAAACTAATGTGAGAAAAAATTTCATGTTCGTTTTTTTAATACAGATACAATCTCAGATTTTATCTATGCCTCCAACAAATTAAGTATCTTTTAACTAAAGCAAAAACGGACTCATAAGGACTTTTTACTATTACTTAGGAATATAGCACACACCTGCATAATTACTTGCTGATAAGTGTAACTATATTTTAATGCACTTTTAGTGGCTAGAAAAGTTCATTAAAGGACAATACCAAACAGAAAAAGTCATTTTTCATTAGTCTAATTTGTTTATATGACAGAATAATAGAACTAGTGGATCACAGAAAACAACAGATAGTACATAACCAAAAAGTAATAGGGAAATCAAAAAACCTAAGCTCCAATCCTGACACCAATTTGCAGAGGAAGCCTAGCACAGGTGCTTAACAGAACAGAATCTGCTGGAATTAACTTACCAGCTGTGGAACTAAAGGCCCATTCCTCAACTTCTTTGAGCCTCAATTTCCTCATCTATAAAATGGGGATAATTACAATGCCAATTTGATAGCATCCTTTAGGATTAAATGACATAAAGACATAATCCATTTAAAGTACTTAGCCCAGAGCCTGGCAGATGATAAGGACTCAATAAATGTTATGTAGTTATTATTTTTGAATGCATGGCCTTGGAAAAGTCATTTAATCTCTTTAGCACTAACATCTCCACCCATATAAAGGAGTAGAGTAGATAATGACCTTGAGTCCCTTTCACTTTTAATATTCCTGACTGAATTTCTAACTGAATTCTAAGAAGGCACAAGGGCACAATAGTGTCAAAAGACAGAATTGGGCATCTCCAAAGGTTTGGCCTAGACAATGGTGGTTACCATTAATCAATACTATATATATATATGGCTGGGATGATGGGATAGAGTATCTACTAAATAAATTTTCTGCTAAAGGAACCCAGTATCTAAGGTGAGCTTTACAAAAGAATTCACTGCAAAATTCCTTTGCTACCAGCAGAATAATTCGGTAGTGATGTGAAACATGTTTAAATAGTGTTTTTAGAGAAAACAGGTCATGTTGCAATGGATGCCTGGAAGTCATTCTCAGGTGACTCAGACAGAGGTGATGGATTCCACGGAATTTGTATGACCTGCCCAACCTTACCAAAATGTGCATTTTCTCATGTGAAGTTCTACAAAGAGAATTTGACAGCATTCATCAACTCAGTGGTTCCCAAACTTTGCTGCACATTAGAATCACCTGAGGAGCTTTTAAAACTTCTGATGCCCAGGCCAGGGCCCATAGAAAACAAAGTTTAAGGGTAGGGGCCAGGCAACAGTATTTTTTAAAGATCCTCAAGTTATTCCAATGTGCAGCAAAGTTCGGGAACCACTGAACCAACTTAACTACTTCTGAATTCTAGAAACTGGCTTCACACTGTCACAGATCTCAACTAATCACTCTAATCTTAAAAAAACTCTATAGCCAATGCTATGGAACTGGCCCTTTCTGGACTTCTTTTGGTTTGGAGGAAGGATGCATAACATGTTGACATTATTTTTTGTGACAGATATAATTATCTGGAATAGTGCTACTTACATCCAAGTGTAGTCCAAAGACCAGCTGGGAGCCTGTCAGAAATGCAAATTCCAGCCAGATGCGTTGACTCCCACCTGTAATCCCAGCACTTTGGGAGGCCGAGGTGGGCAAGATCATCTGAGATCAGGAGTTCAAGAGCAGCCTGGCCAACATGGTGAAACCTCATCTCTACTAAAAATACAAAAATTAGCTGGGAGAGGTAGCAGGCACCTGTAATCCCAGCTACTTGGGAGGCAGAGGCAGGAGAATCGCTTGAACCCAGGAGGTGGAGGTTGCAGTGAGCTGAGATTGCGCCACTGCACTCCAGCCTGGGAAACACAGTGAGACTCGATCTCAAAAAAAAGGGCAAATTCCCAGGACACCCTCCAGACCTACTATATCATTATCTCTAGGAGGAAAGCCCAGGTAGCTATGCTTTAACAAACCCTGCAAGTGATTCTCAGGCCTGCTGAAGTTTGGGAAGCAACAAAAACATTTTCTCTCATTTCTATATGTCTGCATTCACAAACATACAGCCTTCTATGTTCTTATGAAAAGATCTCTTGGCCTGTTTTATTTTCTATATTTACTTAACTTTACTATTCTACTTGACTTCTGAGCTCTGAGACACATATCCTCACAATCATATTGTTTCGTCTCTCTCTCCCTCTTAAATTTCCTTTTAAAATATTTCAGACATACTAAAACGTATAGAGAATAATTTCTCATGTTTGATCCATTTTCTTTATCTTTATTATCCCCTTAACTTTACTTTTTTACTACAAAAGGAAAACATATTTCAACCTATTATTTTATCTTTGCTATTGGATATGTTGCCTAGAAATTGAGTTGTTGTTATGGTACAGATCTGAAATCTTCAATTTTCTTTTAACTTTTCTACACTTTTATTTAAAAATGTTTAACTCCTTCATTAACCTAGAATTTATTGTGATACACATTGGGTAAACTTAATTTTTCCGAAGTGTTACCTGGCTATCATAAGACTCTTATGAAATAATTCCTCATTCCCTTGTTTTAAAACAATTTATTAAGCTTTTATTTATAGTAGGGTCTACCTCTGAAATCTGTATTGCACTGAATTAAAATGAATTCTATTTTTGTGACTCAATACAGTCTGAGTTGTTGCTTTCCAATATATTCCATTACGTGTTAGGGCTTGACTATAATTTTTCCAGAACATTAAAAAAATTTCTAGCCCTTTTGTTTTTCCAAAAACATTTTACAGAATTATTTTGTCAACTTCAAATACATTGAGTTTGTTGGCATTTTGATTAGAATAGGTTTAAACCAGTAATTAAGTTGCAAGAGTACACATAGTTATAATATCTTTATCTGCCGGTCAAGAAACATGACATTTCTGGAAAGGAGAACTGGCTATTTACCAACAAGAATGTTATAAGACTACTGACACAACAGAGAAAACAATCTTTAAGCATGTGAAAGGATATTGTATAGCTAATAATGAACAAATATACACCTGTTCTCAATTTCATCTAAAGATAGGGCAAGATAGAATGGGAGTTATTAAATAGTTTCTAAGTTATCCTCATAGGTAGATACATTCTTTCTCTAAGAACAACTTGATGATGACAAGAACACTTGCTAGGCTTTGAGCTACCACTTAACATGTATCAACATGTTTAACCCTTCAACAATTCTATGAGTAGGTACAAATTCCAAGGACTGAGGTAAGAGAAGGGGTCAGGCAAGATGGCCTCCTGAAGATTCTTTGCAGAAGAGCTCTTACCCTTTTGTTCACAGAGACCTCATGTTGTTCTTCCCACTTTTTCTGTTCTGCCCTCACAAGTGCTTGATACTCTGCAAGCTCAGGTAGTTCTCCCAGCCATCGCTGACGAGCATTTTGCACAGCTATTTCTACCTGTAGGACATTGCAAAAGAAAGAGGTAAAGTGGAGTATAAAATTTCAAAAAGACCCCATTTTCAAACAGCAATTATGATTTCAGTATTTTATACTGTGTATCACTACATAATAAAGTTAAACTGACTTCAAGTACCCTACCCATCCCAAAGAGTGGACTCTAATCCTTTTGTTGTAAACTTCCCATAGCATCCCACACAAATGCCACACAAGAAGTGGGAATCTGTGAATGTTTGATGACCAGTACTACCTTAGAAAGTGTCATATGAAGTACCAATTACCATTTCCAACAACTCCTATTTATCCTGGGAAAAAGGAGAAGGCCTGCTGGGTGCCAACTGCTGTCTAATCACTACACCCACCACCTTCCTCACTCCTCATGTTCTACACATGTGCATGCACATGTACACTGATACGCTTTAGAGCCCTATACCTGCGAACTTTCCTACTGTCGGGAATGAGTTTATACTAAAGAATGAGAGTGATACCTCTGAAGGCAAAAAATTAAGACTTGATTAATTATGAGGGTGATCTGGTTACAAATCTGCCACCAGTTACCAGAAGATTATGTTAAATAATTTTACCTTATTCCTTTATTTTAAAATACACATAGATATGCAGATATAGGTATATATACGTACATACACACAAAAGCAGGGCTGATATAAGAGACTGTATTTATCATTAAAGTGCTAAATATGTCAATGTGTAAACTCTATCTATGTACAAACTCCAAGGAGTTAAGAAATGGGGAAAAGACAAAGCTACTGTAGAAATTTATCTACTTAAAAAGTTATTATGAAACATTTCCTTTCTGCTATATTACGCTATTTGCTTTAAGATTAATGATTTCATAAATACCAAAGCAGCACCTTTAAACTCAACTTTTTGTCTGTGGAACCTTTTCTTAACTCTTTTGAAACCCCCTTCAGTAAACATTTCGGTAAACTAACTGAAGATATCCCTGGTACCATTACATATATTTGCCTGTATTTCCAGACTTTAAGGGTGCCCTGTAAAATCATGTAGAACAATGTAACAAATAAGCAGAATTTCAAGTATTTATCAAAAGCAGAGTGTATTTTCAAAACCTTTACATTGAGCCCTATCTTGTTTAAGAGTTTATAATAAGTAATAAAATTAAAATGATAAATACATAACAGATGTATCAAAGTCCAGGGAACTCTTCAGGCCAGAAACCCAGCCAGGTAGTCTGTGAGGTCAAAACTTTTTCCAAAATAATATTAAGACACTATCTGTTTTATTGCCGTTCTCTCATGCATAAACAGCACAGTTCTCCAAAAGCTGCATGCTGTGATCATGTCATTGTTCTGACAGCCAGTGGAATGTGTGCTTGGGTAGCCTTGTTTTTTAAAAATTTCTCAGGTTTATTTTCCAAAAGTGTAAATATAACCCACATAAACAGAAGCTCTTTAGAGTCCCCAATTTTTTAAATTGTGAAGGAGTCCTGGGACCAAAAATTTTGAGAATCACTGTAATAGGTAAGAGAGATATAACAGATAACTCATCTTTATTCTGTTATAATAGGCTGTACTTTTCTCAGTATGGTATTTCTTTCAAATCAAGTAACTGTGTCAGTTACAAGCTAGTTTTGTGAGTGCTTCAAAGGAAAGGTATTGGCACCACTTTGGGGCGGCTAATGGGAATGATAGACAAAGTTCCATTTAAGGGCAGGCCTGCAGATCCAACTGCATCAAGTCTCAATACAAATGTTGTTAAATACCTTATGTGCTTAGGTTTACTTATCTATAACCACCTTAGTGGAATATTTTCCATAAAATTAGATATGAAAGATACATAATTAAACTGTGATTCATTCAGATGTAAAAGCACCCTCTTTAACCTCAGGCATCTTAATGCTTGGACTAATCTCAAAGGAGCAAATACTTTGTAAACTGAAAGAATATACAGAAAAACCGGGGGTGACGGCTTTATGACAGAAATAGTATGAAGAAAAATTTAGGAACATGACAGGTTTTCTATCCTAGAAATGCACAAAATCTTAAAAGTATAAAGTTATGAACGAGTTCAATGATAGCATTTTATGTGCTTTCATTAAGTGACAGGCAGTTCCAAAAAATTTACTAGAATAAACCTGCCTTTTACCTGTTTGGCGATATTTTCACAATGCTTGAGTTCCAATTCAATTTCCAGTTTCTTCATAGCCCCCTTGATGGCTATGTCCTTCTCTTGTTCTAAGTGTTGCTGGATTATGCACTTCTGCTCTTCTATCATGATTGCCATCTCTTTCTTGGAAATAACATCACTGGTGGTTACTTGGTCAGTTTGGCTGCCACGATCTGAGGTCTTCTTTTTCATTGCCTTTATAGTTTGATCCAGCTTAGACTGCCACTCCTTTTCAAGCTGTTGAATGAGTTTTTCTTTGATCTGTTTTCAGAAGAAAAATCATAGAAGAAAAAAAATTTTCAAATAAGTTAAAAACTAGAATTAAAGGCTAGCCAGAAAAGCAATCACAGCTGTGTTTGAAAACCATCTAGATATTGTTGTAGTAATTATAAAAGGTTTAGAAATTTAGTCAATTAAAATACACTCTCAAGTAAAACTTGAAAGTTACTCTTTGAACTTAACTATATGACAAAAATCACATGAAAGATTTAAGTATGTTGTGTAAAGTCAGGAGATCTTGCTCTCAATATGCAACCTCTGGAATCTTTCATATTGCCACTACAAAGACAGCAGGATTTAAAAAAAAAAAAATTACAGTTAATGTGTTTTGCCATCAACACCATGCTCTCCACAAAGGACTGAGTAAATCTAATTAACGAATCAAAACCTGAACAATCTAAAAAATAGTTTTACTCACTTGAACACGTTAGAATCTTGTTTGTTATAATGTTAAATTTTACTAAATAGACTACATTCAAAAGGGAGGCAGTATTATTGGAAGAACATCTTAATGATTTTTCCACTTTAACAGTACAGCGAGGTGGAGCTAAAAACAGTTTTAAACTATGAAACAGCACAATTTGGTTTTCCCTTTTTCTGTTCACCACCTGGGTATCTCCAACTGTTTCCCTGGCTACCAGCAATTAATAGCCATTTTGTAGACAGAAGAATCTAGTTGAGGCCAGGCGCAGTGGCTCATGCCTGTAATCCCAGCATTTTGGGAGGCCGTGGCGGGTGGATCACCTGAGGTCAGGAGTTCAAGACCAGCCTGGCCAACATGGTGAAACCCCATCTCTACTAAAAATATAAAAATTAGCTGGGCGTGGTGACACTTGCCTGTAATCCCAGCTACTTGGTAGGCCTGTCTCTTATACACATCTAGATGTGTATAAGAGACAGCTTCTAAGACTGCCCATTACTTCTTTGTTTCTAATCCATGATATGGCTTATTTATTTGTTTGTTATAAATATTAGTCTAGAGTTATAATCACTCCACAATATGAAATCAGATCATGGTTTCATTTCGAGGAATCAAAGAAGTGCCCATTAAACTTGTTATATCCTGAGTTGGGTCGAAAAGTCAAAAGGTGGCTAAATTCCTAAAAATAAAACTGGTGTGGTAACTGCTAATAGCTCAATTCCGAAAGGTAAAATGGCTGACTATGTAAGTGCCTGGCAAATAAAGCTTATGTATCTGTTCAGGAAGAACTGTCTTCTGAAGTTAGTACTACATTTTTAAAATGTGGTGACCAGAAAGAAATTTTAATCCACACCTCTTTCTGTTCCTTATCCCAATGTGCTTTGGCTAAGATCACTTCATTTTCAACTTGCTGTTTAATATTAGTTTCTTGATCTTTCAGCCACTTGCTCTTTTCCATCATAAGTGTATCTTGGTACTTTTTTTCAAGTTCCACCTGCAGTTTGCTTACATACTCTTCTCTTTCCTCCAATAGCTGTCTCTTTAAACAAAATTCAAATAAATATCTCTCTACAACACTAACAGTCTCCAAGTTAAAACATATGAACTTATTGTGCATGGCTTGGAGAGCAAAAAAATCCCTCTAACTTCTAAAATGCACCTACCTAACTCATATTACAATTGTATAAATAAGCCTTAATGTGTATAGAAATGGCATCATGAATGGGAAGGTTGACCATCTTTGCCTTGTCTGCAAATTCATAGGCTTCACTGATTACTCCCCAAACTGAAGGATTCTGTGTATATGACTTTTTCTCCCTTTCTCTCAATGAGCCAGGTTAACATGTGAGGAAAGTTCTGTGTGCTAATAAAAGCTTTAAAACTTGGAATTGAGCTCCTATTTAACCTGCAACCTGACTCAGCAAGTGTTTCAGAAAACAGTGCGTGAAACATAAAAAAACACCCTTTAACTCTTATTGTTACCTGACTCATATATTCTGTATCCAGGTTAAGTCCCCTACCTAAAGCTAAGCTGCAGTAAAATGGCTTATGTCCTGCAAAGAACAGCTACCCCAAAAGTGTCCTCACTTGTTCTAGAGTTTAATAAGATTCTCCCATCGTGTATGTGAAACATTTCCTTTAAAAAAAGGAAAAAAAAAAAAAAGGTGTATTTTTGCCTACCTCTGAAGAATGTGAGAAGATTAGATAGTCTCCTAAATACAAAGATATTTAGTTCTGACTGGCTTATACTATTAAGGGCTTATATAATTCTATAGTAAAAAACTAACGAATTCTCAGAGAGGGAAGAAATTAAACTTCTAATGTTTTAAGTATACTGGCCCTTTAAGTGAGGGGTGGGCTTGGGGGAGCAGTGTAACCACAAAAGGACAGGAAAAGGGAGCGTTTTAGAGTGATAAAACTGTTCTGTATCCTGATAAACCTATAAACGTGCTAAAGGTTTATAGAACTATACACCCAGTGGTGGGACGAAGTCAATTTTACTGTATAACAATTTATAGTTTTTTTAAATTATACTTTAAGTTTTGGGATACACATGCAACATTTAACCTCTAAGTTTGGTTTTTTTGAAGGACCGAATAGCAGTTTAACTTTTCTTCTTGGACTTGGGTACAAACACTCATTAGCCAAAATATCAGCCAGTAGCAGATATTAATTGTAACTGACCCATTATATGAGATCAAATGTTATAGTCAAATTGATTCTATTAAAAGTATCAGAAAATATTCCTGAAATGACCTCTTTGAGAAAATTCCTCTTATGTTCTTGCCAATTTTTATACATATAAAAGAATCACACTAGTGATTTCCCTATTTTAATTTTTAAAACATTACTGAAAGCTAAGTCCTCAATTTCAAGGTAATATAAGATCCTGTCTCACTTTTATACTGCCGTCTCTACCTAAAACAGCTCCCTTCAGAAGTTCTTTTTCCACAAGATGATAGTATACGTGGCATGTTTTTCACCACATTAATCTATTCAACAATAATCAAGATAGTGAATGAACTGAATTTCTCACCTACTCTTTACTATTCTTTTTAAGTGTGTGGTAATAATAGCTTGTTTTAACATAACTCATTCAAAAAGCTCTGTATAGAACATTTATTTACGCATTTAAAAATATTTTCTAATCTTGAGGCAGATAGCTTTCAAACTGTGGTTTGTCACTGGTCCAAAGTGTGAAGGACAGTCAGGCCTGTGAAGGCTCTGGGCCAGGACAGGGAAGAAAAGAGGAGGTGTGACTGTTTACATGTGATTTTACTCCTGGACACTCACCAAGGGTGACTCAGAAGAATCAGGCAGAGTTGGAGAATCTACTCTAGCCCCTCCAGCTTCCCTGAAGGAGGTCATACGAAGATGCTGACCTTGCTGTCCATATCCTCCGTATCATCACTCTCCCTATCACAAGACCAACATTCAAATTCCTACTCTTCTCCCCAGAAGAATAAAATGACAATGAGGTAGTGAGAAAGAAATGGATCCGAGAAAAAGGGCTCTGAAGGAATGCTCTGTGCGGCACTCACAGGACTACATAGGGTTTCCGGAGCAGTCAACGCTGAAAACAAGGATCTGTGATTTTCAGATTTAAAGTGACACTGATTTTTTTTTTTTGGCCCTTTAGAATAAATCTGCAAGAAAAAAAATATCACTTTCTCCTATCTATATGCCATTGTACACTAAGGTTTTAATAATCATTTCAGTATTTACTGTACTTTATTTGTGAGCTATATGAGTGTGATACAGCCAAAAGTCAAGAGAACCTATGAATACCTTCGCCATTCACTTCTCTAGAACAAATGCATTCGTTTAAATGATAATACTGAGGCTTGAAAAGTGAAAGGATGTCGGTACAACATAAACTTGTCCTGTACCTTCTCCTGAGCCTGTTGCTCCTTTTCAGTGGTCTTCCTGAGAGTCGATTCTAGATGATCCTTCTCTCTGCACACTTCTAGGTAACATTCCTGCACAGCAGTCATCTCCTTATTCACCTTATCCAACTCAGACCTTGGATACACAAAACCAGCAACTAAATGATTTAACCACAAAAAAATACAGGAGCTGCGTAACAAACGATTTTCCTCTAAATTATGGAATAGGGGAATGTAGTCTCTACAGCTTAAAAGGCAGCTAAACTCTTTATTCTCACCTCAATTGCACATGAGTTCTCTCATAAGCCTCAAAGAGCTGCTGCTTCTCCAAAGCATGCTTTGCTAATAGGCTTTCACGTATTTGAGTTTTCATGGCTTCGTGGTGCTGCTGGTAAGTCCTCTCACACCTGGAAACAGGGCAGAATCAAAGGCAATGCCCAGTCTCACTACAAACACCAAAATGAATTGGCTTCCTTCCTTCCTCCTCACCTCATCCCTCTAATGCAAATTATAATTGAGGTCAGATTACTTTTCCCCAACCGAAAGTGGTAATAATTAATTAACAACCAACAATCTTACGAGAATCTTCAAAATTTTCTTTCTTCAAATGTTTCTAAAGAACAATTAGAAACTTGGATGTGAGAATGCCCCAGTCCTTCAAACAGAGATAGTAATCTACGTTGAGGACTTCTGTTTATAAAAAATTAATGACAGTAATTGAGGATGTGGTTCCAAAATTTATATTAAACATAAATACTAGCAGTCCCCAACTCACACGTAAGTTATGTTCCAGAAGTCTGTTTCCAAGTTTATGATTTGGTATTTGGAAGACATATTCCCTCTCACAGACTTTTTTCTTTATAAAGAATAGTTTCCCAGACGAGTCTTTAAAAAATATATTAAGCTATAATATTTCAGTGAACTACAGTTTCAATGATACTATAGAACCCAACCCACTACATAACACTGTTTCTATGGAAAATGTGTTCCAAATTCTAATTTGAGAAGCCAGGGACTCATCTCTGCCAATCCAAGATCTCAACAGGGTAGAATTCACTCAATCATTTTGAATCTTTTTGTCACAAGGAAGGGCAGGGACTTAGAGGGGAAAGGTACCCAGGAGACAGTCGTCAGGCATCTATATAGACCTTACCTATCCACAGCTTCTCGTTTATCATGGTCAAAATCTTGTACCATTTGTCTCATTTGATTACATAAGTCTTGATTTGTATTTCTCAGTTTTTCTTCAGTTTCTTTAAGTTCCTAGACACAAAAGAATATACTTAGTACTTAGAGAAAATAAACATCATTTTCACTGATTAGTTTTATCTCATTTTTAAATATTTTCTGTGCTTTCTCTCTCCTCTATAACAATATTTGACATTATTTTTACAATTCTGCAAAAGAAAAAGTCTCTTCGCGCTTTGATAAGAACATAGATTCATTTATTAGACAGGTAGCTTTCTGACAGGACTAAATGTTTAACTTTTGTATTGACTTTGAAATACATAAAATGAAAATATTTAACCAGAGAAGTATTGGCTAGCTAATGCCTTAAAATAAGTCTCAGAGCTCAATAATCTTCAGCAACCATCTAAATAAGCAAAGTTTTACTTCTGGGTCAAGAGCTGGCTAAGGAAGAAAGAATACCTCTGTCAGTCATGCTACCAGAGAGGCAGAGAACTGGAACTACACTAACTTACCTTCCCATGAAACTACTAACCAATAGTTCACTAGCAAAGGGAAATCACTGGAACTCAGAATTACCTACTAATATACTTGTCTACTAACTCACATTGCCTCTTTATTTGCAAAAACTCTATTACATCTTCTGTATTTAATGAGGAAATAAAAATTCTTATAAAATATAAAAAATATTCTTAATCACCTGATTTTGTTGTTGTAAAACTTGAATTTCATTTTTAAGCAGCAGAATATCATCTCTGACAATATCAGAAGTAGAAGACTCAAGCCACAATTGATTCTTTGGTTTTTCTGAGGTATCTGTTTTAGTCTGAATGTTAAAAAGTCAAACGTTTTTCAAGTTTTAAAAAATTCTAAGTTTCACTTTGAAATAATTCCATACTTTAAAAAATTGCAAACAGTACAAATAATCTCCATATAGCTTTCACTCATCTTCCCCCAATATAACTACAGCACAATGATCAAAACTAGTAAATTAACTATCAGGTAATCCACAGACCTTATACAAATGTTTCCAATTTGCCCCAAATGTCTGTTTTCTGGTCCAAGATCAAATCCATGATTCTGAGTGGCATTCAGTTGTCATGTTTAATTAGTGTCCTCCAATCTAGGACAGCTCTTCAGTCTTTCAAACCCATGACGTTTTCTAAGAATACTAACCCATTATTTTGTAGGATGTTCCTGAATTTGGAGTTTTTAGGTTTATTAAAATCAGGTTATGCATCTTTGGCAAGCATGTCAAGAACTGGTATATGCTCTTTGCAGGAGACACACGATATCACTATGTCTCACCACTGGTAATAATCAATTGAAGGTGGGATCTATCATCTCCATTGTAAACTTACTATTTTTTGTTTTATAATAAATGATAAGTATCTTATAGGATACTTTGAGACAATGCAAATATCCTATTTCTCATCATATGTTCTCCTACTAAGATCAAGCATTTATCCTATCTCTGTATGTATTCATTTATGTCATCATTCACTCATGGACATACATTTTATTCAATAAACACAATTTTTAAGACTCTAATGATAGACTTTGGCAAATTGCTTTCCAGAAATGCCATACAAACATATACTGTCAGGTAGTACATGGGTCTGCCCATCTCTCTTTGCCTCCAGTGGCAGTGATTATCTCTAAATAATTATCTTTGATGGGAAAAGAATATCTAACAATTCTTTCATTTGTATTTCTTGTGTCATCACCAAAGTGGAACCTCTTATATACCTTCATTGTTCATTTGTTTTTCCATCTTCCCAGATTTATCTGTTTATATAATTTTGCATGTTTTCCTCTTAGTGAGTGTTTTCCTTACCTACGTTTCTTTTTATTCATTGATGGGGGTTACAAAGATTTTAAAAATATATCTACTCCATTTCACTTATTGTGTCCCTGGACTCGGAGCTGGGAGGTGGAGGTGGGCAGATCACTTGAGCCGAGGGCTGAAGTAACTCTGAGAAAAATCAGAGTTTAGATGGAGACTACCAAGAATTCACTATGGCAATAGAGCAGCTGGACAAAAAGAATACTCAAAGATGAGAGAGTTATTCCTTTGATCTATTATTGATCAACCAGACTACAGTGGGAAATGGAAAGGCTAAAAATCAGCACAATGCATGACCACTATCAACTGCTACACATGATAAAGTGTATCTGTATAGCAAATGCCATTAGCAACTTTAATACAGAACAAAGAAAGCACCAAGACACCTGAGCTAAGGTTCAGACTCAAAATCAGGTTTCTAGTATCCTAAATCTTAGAGCACTCCCACCAAAATGCTTAAACTAATAAACTCTAATGTCTTAATACAAATTGAGAAACAAGCTTTCATCCCCATCCTTTTAAAGAAATGTAGGGCAACAATGAAAACAGCTTGATTTAAAGATGTTAAATATGCAGGGGGCAAGGCCGGGGGGAGTCTTTCTCATTTGTTGTTAATATTAAAACCTATGTTTTAGTCATCAAATACAGTTACTCAGAAGAAGGAATCAGGCTGGAAAAGATTTTGATAGCAAAAACACTGTTATTTCCAAAACATAAATTAGCCACAATTACAATTCCACAATAATTAGCACAGAACATTATACATACTTTAGCAGAACTGTTTTAATGAACACAACTCCTAGTTTAAAAGAACAGGAGATAAAACAGTACTAAAGAAGGTGTAAACAATTATCTCCACCCAGGAGGAAAAGGAATACACAACCTACATTCCTTTTCCCTCTTCTTTTCCTTCTCTTAGTTATTAGGTGTTTTATATATTATTTTCTATTGGGAGTATAGATGGCTGATGATTTGTGAAATATGGAAGGGTAAAAAAAGGATCTATAAAGGAGAGCAGCCCTGAAGATCTCTGTGATAGCATGATATTGCAGAAATATCTTTGACTTACTTATTAGTCATGTGTTTAGTTTCAATTTGTCTGAAATTGGCTCTGTAAACTCAAAAGTGTCACAAAGTGCTCTAGCTTCATTTTCCTAACTGAAGAATACAGACGTGGATTTCAATGACTGACATAACCAGATTTTGTGCCTTTCCCATCTGTACCACTACCACTATATAATATCTGTACCACCATCACTATATAATTAATGTCCTCATATAGAATGACTTTTGTTATAAGAACATGGGCCAGGAAAATCTCATAGAAAATACTAAAGGATTTCTATGGAGGATTTATTTTAACTAGATTTTAGAGCACTGTTGGTAAAAGCCAATCTTAAAGAAATGCAGATTCCTTGCAACAGAGAATACTTCCTTGTATTTATGGTAAAGGAATTTTACCTAATCGGTATCTCATTTACTAGGTGCTAAGAGTAACCAGAAAAAACATACAGGTGCTTTTCAACTTACAATGGGTTTATCACCTAATAAGCCCATTGTAAGTTGAAAATATCATTAAGTCAAAAATGCATTTAATGCATCTAATCTATTAAAATCACAGCTTAGTCTGTCCTACCTTAAATGCCCTCAGAACACTTACAATAGCCTACAGTTGGGCAAAGTCATCTAACACAAAGCTTCTTTTATAATAAACTGTTGAATATCTCATGAAATTTACTGAACACTGTACTGAAAGTGAAAAACAGAATTGTTTTACAGGTACTCGAAGCATGGTTCTACTGAATGCATATAACTTTTCCACCACTGTAAAGTCTAAAAATTTTAAGTCAAACATCCTAAGTCGGGGACTCTCAGCATCCCTTTAAAAATGGCATTTCCTTCTTTAAATTTTACTTCTAAAAATGTCAAATAAACCCCTGAAAGTCAAAGGTTTATTAATTTAAAAAAGCGTAAAAGGGCTGGATGTGGTGGTTCACACCTGTAATCCAAAACCTTGAGAGGTTGAGGTGGGAGGATTACTTGAGCCCAGGAGTTTGAGACCAGTCTGGGCAACACTGTGGGGACCTGTCTCTACAAAAAATATAAAAATTAGCCAGACATAGTGGCATGTGCCTGTGGTCCCAGCTACTCAGGTGGCTGAGGTGGGAGCATCGCTTTAGCCTGGGAGGTTGAAGCTACAGGGAGCCATGTTTCCACCACTGCCCTCCAGCCTGGGAGACAGAGTGAGGCCCTATCTCAAAAAAAAAAAAAAAAAAAAAGTGTAGAAGTTTTCTTTATTGAGCCTTTTAAAAATGGTTTTTTAACTCGATAGGCTTTACAGACCTCAACCTCAATGCTTTTTTCATCCCTCTTCACTTGGTGGAGATCTTCGATTTTCTTATGACAGTCTTTGAGGTCATTTTGTAACTGAGACACCAGACGACGCTTCATTGAGTTGCTACCCAGCAAACGCTGCACTTCTGCCTTTAACTTCAGAATGAACTCATCTTTTGAAAGCTCTTCATTTGGGTCTTCTTGTTGTACAATGCTAATGGAGAAATTGTGATTTTAAAGATTAAATCAAGTAATAAATCAGATATGGTTATTCCTCAAAAGCACTGACCACAGTGGTGAACATGTTTTGTCACCTACACAAATACATACTAGTATTTCAAAATAACTTTATATGTTGTCATACACAAGGATTATCACCTTTGCCATATCTCTATATACAGAAATACGTTTATTCACAGGAAGAGCCTTCTCAAGCTTAGTACTGCTGCTCACTGTAAGTAGCTTAGAAATGTGAACTTTAACATAATTTACATTTGTGTTATTGGAAAATTGCACACTGTATATACACGCCCTTTATAACTCTAACAGAAACAACATAAATATTAAGGAAGAAAAGAATACTAAACACTAGCCATCCTAACCAACAATTTCTGTTATTTTTTTCAACTCACTAAAACACAAGTCTGGGTGAATATCTGAGTAACTAGAAAAACACAAAAATAAAACCATGCTAATTTAAACCCAATTTTAGTTTCAATAAATTTAAAGATTGGAAGATTATCTGCTTCCTTGTCATAATGAATTAACAAGACTAACTTTATCATCCTCCTTAAAAAACTAGCAAACCAAATAAAGCAAATAAAATAATAGTTTTCAATCACTAGACAACAGGCAGCAGAGGCCAGTGATTCCTGAGAAAAGGAAAACAAACAAGGTGAGCTCTAAGATTACCCCAGCTTTCTGCCTGGAGAGTGTCCAGACCATAGCACAGGGAGATGAAACCCAAACAGAGCCCGGTAATCTCACTGAGTTTCAGAGAAAGAATTCAGAGTTTGGGGAGGCCAGAGTGGCTAGAATATGAAGGGGAGAAATACTGGGGAAAAAGAAGCTGCACAGAGAAAGAGCTCTGGAGATCTGTGTGTATACGTGTGGCTAGGGAAAAAAACACAGGAAATGAATAAGGCTGGGAATATGCTGTGTTTCAATGAGCCATAATGCAAAGACTTACTAATTTAAAGGGCATCAAATAATACCTTAGTAGTGGGGCTAAATTAGCCCTAGATTAAAGCCTGTTCTAAACCTGATCTATTAAAGTCTATAAAGAAAGCCTCAAAAGGATCAAACTGATTCCAAGTAACTTGTGTGTCACAGAAAAAGTACAACAGTATTTTTAAAAATATAGTAATATCTGGCATCTAAAACAAAATTCAAAATGTCTAGCATTCAATCAAAATTTATCAGGCATACAAAGAAGTAGGAAAAAAATATGAACTATACCAGGAGAAAAACCAATCAATAGAAACTAACCCGTCAATGACACAGACAATAGAATTAATATATTTCATATGTTCTGGAAGGTTAAGGAAGATATGAACATGTGGAGGAAACTGGAAGATATAGAAAGACCCAAATTAAACTTATAGAAAAAATTGTAATATCTGAAAAGTAAAATACACTGGATGGGATTAATAGCATATTTAAAACTGCAGAAGAAAAGATCAGTGAACATATAGATATAGCAAGAATACTATAAAATTAAAAACAAAGAGAAAAAAGACTAAAACAGAAATACACAGAACATATTACATTTTCCAACATGTGTAACTGAAGTCCCAGAAGAGAAGCGGGATGGAAAACATATTTGAAAAATAATGGCCAAATTTTTCCTAATTTGATGAAAACGAAAACCCCACAAAACCCAGAAGTTTGGTGAATCTCAAGCAGAAGAAACACAAAGAAAACCAGTATACATCACAGCAATGTCAGATTGCTGAAACCCAGTGATAAGAGAGTGTAGGAAGACTCCCAAAGAGAAGAGAACCAGAGAAAGGAATCCTGAATTCTGTGTATAAATTTGTACAAGCCTCAGTCTAAGCCCTGAACTATGCATGTACAGAACAACTCTCAAACCAGCATATCAAAGATTTTAAAAACTTAACTGAAATTTAAACCACACATTCAAGTCTCACAATGACTAACCCCTGAGGGATGCATACACAGGTTGGATTCAAAGCAATGTGGCAAAGGCTTGGAGAACCGAACTGAGATTTAAAACACCCATACAAATTCACAATGTCTAGTATACAATCTAAAATTACTTGACATGCAACTAACCAGAAAAATGTGGCCACTTCTTAAAAGACAATCAACAAATGATCCAAATGCTGAAACTACCACTAAAAGAGTTTGAAAAGTTTAAAGTAGCTATTATATCTCTGCTTTATGAAGTAAAGAAAAAGATACCTGAAGTGAATGAAAAAATAGGAATTCTTAACAGAGAAAGAAAAGTGATACAAGAACAAAATAGAAATGTTATTAAGTAAACAAAAGTTAAAAAAAAAACACAAAACTTTCACTAGATAGGCTCAATAGAGTATACATGACAAGAAAAAAAGGAGAGAACATGAAAATAGTCCAGTAGCAATTATCCAAAATAAAAAGGAAAAACTACAGAAGAAAATGAACATAGCCTCAAGAAACTGTAGTATAATACCAAAAAAATCTAACATACATGTAACTGGAGACCCAAAAGGAGAGAACAAAGACACAGGGACAGAAAAGGTATTTAAGGAAATTAATGGCTGACATTTTCACAAATTTGGTAAAAGACGTAATAAATTTACATATTCAAGAAGCTCAGAGAACCCAAAATGAGATAAACTAAAAGAAAAACACACCTAAACATATCATAATCAAAGTACCAAAAACTAAATATGAAGAAAAAAATTCTTAAAGCAGCAAGAGAAAAAACTATACATTACTGACAGAAACAATAATTCAAATAACAATGAATTTCTTCACAGAAACCATTGAGTCCAGAGAGAGTGGACCAACGTAGCTTTAATGTGCTGAAATAGAAGAACAATTGGTCAGGAATTGTATAATAAACAAATATAAGGATATTTTCATAACAGGAAACAGACTCTGTCAAGCAGCGGACATGCTTGAGAAGAAATGGTAAAGAAAATTCATAGAAGATAATATTATACGATTCTGTTTATATGCAATGCACAGAGCAGCCAAATCCAGAGAGACAGGAAGTAGATTAGTAGATTAGTTGTCTGGAGCTGTGGAGGCAGGTAATGGGAATGACTAGTAATAGGCATGGAGTTTCTTTGGGGGCATGTTGAAATGCTGTAAAATTAGGTGTGGTGATGACTGCGCAGTTCTGTCAATATACTGAAAACCACTGAGCTGTATTCTTTAAGTGAGTGGCTCTTACGGTGTGTGAAATAATATCTCAATAAAACAGTAAAAAAAAAAAGAAAAAAGAAAGAAAACCCGAACACCTAATGTATGAGTTTCCTTTACATGAAGGCAAATCTAAAAATCTGTAGTGCTTAGGTATGAATAACTGGGCATGAAAAAGCTAAGGGAAAAAAACAGAAAATGATTGCCCTAATAGATGAGACAGTAGTTAGCCTCAAGGTTACAATAGGAAAGAATATGGGCAGCTCGTGGCAATTTGACTTCTTGACCCGGGTGGTGGTCCCACGAATATTCACTTTCAAATAATTGATTAAGCTGTATATTTATGTTCCATGTTCTTTATGTGTATATTTCACAATTTGAAAGATTTAAAAAGCAGAATAAAACTATAGAAAGTACTAGAGAAATACCTTATTTTTAAATATCAAGAAAACATAAATGAAAACAGTGACAAATCTAACTATATAAAAATTATAAACAGGAAAAGTGATAACTCTCAATACTGGCTAGGTTACCAAAAAATAGGGACAGCCTCAGGACATGGGTAATAATGTAAACTTTAGGGTTGTTTAGTAATATGCATCAAAAAACTCAAATAAGTGTACACCATTTAGCAAGAAAATTATTCTACTTCTTTAGGAAATAAAGATGTGAATAAAGACTTGACTACAAGGATGCTTATAACAATGATACTGCATTATTTATAATAAAACTTTTAAACAGTGTTTTAGTAACTAAACTGAGTCATTCAACTATATATTCACTAAAAGTAATATATAAAAATATTCACTGACATTCAAAGATTTCAGAATATACTAGTAAAATGACATTATAAAGAAATATTATCAATATTATTTCTTTTTTTTTATTTATTTATTTTTTTTTTTGAGATGGAGTCTCGCTCTGTGGCCCAAGCTGGAATGCAGTGGCCGGATCTCAGCTCACTACAAGCTCCGCCTTTCGGGTTTACACCATTCTCCTGCCTCAGCCTCCCGAGTAGCTGGGACTATTTTATCTTTTAGAAACAAACAAAACAGATGATGTGCAAGTTTTATACTGAAATATTATAGCAGTTTCTTCATGAGAAGTAGGTGAGATTATTGGTGATTAGAAATTTTGATTAGAAAATCAAATTTTCTTCTTTTTTAGTCTGTATTTTCTAATTTTTTCATAATGGAGAATTAAATTACTTTTGAAAATAAATAAACAGTTGACAGTATCTGCCCTTAAGATGATGTGATGAAAGTCTCAGTGGTCTTCCTCCACAAAACCCATGAGAAAAACATAATCATAAGAAAAATGTCATATTCCAATAGAGAGCCTTCCTACAAAATACTTGACTAGTATCCCTCAAGACTGTCAAGGTCATCAAAAACAAGTAAAGTCAAGAGAAATCTAAGGAAACACGACCCCTAAATGTAAAGGGGTAGCCTGGATGGGATCCCAAAACCGAAAAAGCATGTTAAATAAAAACTAAGGGCATTAGTAAATAAACCCTGGATGTTAATTAATAATACTATACCAATATTGGCTCATTAATTCTAACAAATGTACCATACTAACGTAAGGTATTAGTAGGGAAAAACGGATGCAGCATATCACATATAGGAACTCTGCATAAATTTTTCTGTAAATTAAAACTGTTCCAAGAATATTTTTAAAAGCCTTTATTAGAAACAAAAATAATAGTACCTGAGTTAAAATGTTTACTGTTCTTCAGTTTTGGATGATTCCAAATAAAATCTTAGAATACTGTGTGTGTGTGTGTCTGTGTGTGTTGAGAGAGAGAGAAAATGAATAAACTATTAGGTAGGCTTTTTAATCTTATAAAAGGAGCTTTTACAATACATTATGCAACTTTTGTATATGTAATATATATATATTGTGTAAGTAGTCTGTCTGTATATAGATCTCATTTAAACCACTTCTATTTCCATTAAAGTAGAAAATATAAATTATAAGAAATATAAACTATTTTACAATATAACTTCCTGTGCTATAAGACATGGTGAAGTAACCTTAAGCAGAATTATTATTTTGCTCGGTTAACAAATTATGCATCCCCAATTTCTTTTCTTACGGAATGCCGACCACTGAAATAGCACATCCTGTACTCCTAGAGGGAGCCAAGTCAGAGAGAGAGAGAAAGCGCTTGCTAAAATAATTTTCTCTTCTTTCCTCAAAGGGGAAAAAAATCAGTGGTGGTGACCAATCCTGAAAAAGGCTCACTACTGAGCCCTATGGAAGTCAGTTCTCCTAAATCCAAATAAACTGTAGTCCCTTATGAAGCCTGCTGAGAAGACCAAAGGGAAAAGGCATTCCACTTGTTAAATGTTTATTATTTGAGCTTAGCAGCCAACTATAATAAGGGAGAGAGGAAGCTGTCTGCAAGCTGCATGCAGCTTTAGCTACTCAAATTCCATGAATGTAAAATAGAACATTGAGGCTAAACCCTTAAAATTTACTAGGCAGTAGCTTGAGGGAGGAGGTAGTTGGTAATAAAAGCTTGTAGCCACCAATATTTGGGTCAGTGATTTGAAAGCAGCCCAAGTCAACTAAAATTCCCAACACAGGAAAATTATTGCTTCCTCTTATTCTAGGAATCACAGTAGACCAGGGGAAAGGGACAAATATCTTCTCTCCTTTATCTCCTTTCAATTTGATCTGAATATAATTGCTTTTAGTTTTCCATGAAGCTAAAATATCACCTATTAGACTGCTGGCGGGTGGGATGACTACAAGCAAAACGTTTCTTCGCTTATCTTGTGCTTCACTGGATGTCTTTTTGCCAAGCCTCAGTGACTAATCACACTGTGCTTTATTCTTCACTTTCCCACTGAATGCGTCCATCATTCCTTTTACTATAATAATGATGTGGTATCTCAGGTTTATTATCTATAGGAATGTGCTTTAAGATGAGTACAGGAGGCCGGGCACAGTGGCTGAAGCCTGTAATCCCAGCACTTTGGGAGGCCGAGGTGGGAGGATCACCTGAGGTCAGGAGTTCAAGACCAGCCTGATCAACATGGAGAAACCTCGTCTCTACCAAAAATACAAAATTAGCTGGGCATGGTGGCGCACACCTGTATTCCCAGCTACTCAGGAGGCTGAGGCAAGAGAATTGCTTGAACCTGAGAGGTGGAGGTTGTGGTGAGCCAAGATCACGCTATTGCACTCCAGCCTGGGCAACAAGAGCGAAACTCTGTCTCAAAAAAAAAAAGAAAAAAAAAAAAGATGAGTACAGGATTTTGGCTATGAGCACTAAGTAAATAGAAAGTGTAAAGGTAGCAGAATATATTTTAATAGACATTATGAAGAAGTAACTATTTGAAAAGATAAATATACATAATGTATTATTTATTCAATTCCCAAATTATAGCAGAAACTAAAAGTAATCACAAATTGGAGAAAAATCTTTTTTGGCATGAACTACGTCTTTAATCCTCAAAAATAAAAGACATGAAGAAAGGAGTTTAAGGCAAAAAGGTTTAACTGACGTGTAAATATGAACAGACAGATAACTGAACCTTTCTCAGGAGTTTGGGTTCAAGTACTGGTTCTGCTACTAATTGTCAGCCTTACTGAGCAAAGGAGTTCACTCTGGTTTTTCCAACTCTCACATAATAATATTGGATTTGATATTTTTCACGAGGTTGAGGATTAAGAACATTTTACAAAGTATATGTTGAATTAATATAAAATTCATGTGACTTAATATAAAATCTGATTAGTGCTGTTTTAATCAACCATCTACTGAGTAACAATAGTAACAGCCATCATTTATCAACTGCCTAATATATGTTAGAATGTGTTACATGAGGCCTTTTATATTCATTATTTTAATCCTCAGTTTAACCTCCTAGGGATATTAAGCTTGATAAGAAAACAGGCTCAGAAAAGCTAAGAAATTTGTCCAAGCTCACAAAGCTAGTAATAAAATGGCAAAACTATTATTCAAAACAATCTGGATCTAAAGCCCATGCTCTTTCCACAAGCCCCTTAGAATTAACCTGGCATTAGCAGGAAATGAGGCATTCACAGTAGTGAATTTTCCAGGTGACTATATTAACATTTTATATAAATCTGTCTAAAAAAGATATAATGCGCTTCGTTTATTGCTTTAATTTACTGACCAAAGTTGAAGTCTTTCTTTGACAACTTGGGATCATAACTGTGGACATTCTGATGTGGATCAAACATAGGTAAATGTGTAGAGCTATTTGCTGTGATACTCAGCAACTCCAGCCTGTTGGGTTTCCATAGTTTTCTCCCTGCTAAGGTTGAGCTGCTGGCTGAAGGACTGTCTTTCTCAACCCTTGCCCTAGCCCTCTGCAGTAAGTTAGGAAACCAGACAATTCATGGGGTACAAATAAATCTAAGTCAATATGGTCCTGGGATAAGAACTTGAAGGTGGCTCCTACTAAATACATCATATAATCCAGTTCTGATATTTTCTTTCTTTCTTTTTTTTTTTTGTTTGAGACTGAGTCTCACTCTGTCTCCCAGGCTGGAGTGCAGTGATGCGATCTCGGCTCACTGCAAGCTCCACCTCCCGGATTCACGCCATTCTCCTGTCTCAGTCTCTCAAGTAGCTGGGACTACAGGCGCCCGTCGCCACGCCCGGCTAATTTTTTGTATTTTTAGTAGAGATGGGGTTTCACCGTGCTAACCAGGATGGTCTCGATCTCCTGACCTCGTGATCTGCCCGCCTCGCCCTCCCAAAGTGCTGGGATTATAGGCGTGAGCCACCGCGCCCGGCCCAGTTGTGATACTTTCTTCTTTGCTTCCTTCCGGATAGTAGCGCTGTGATTTGTAGGGATGACAGTCCCTGAAGACAGACCTCTAGATAAATGCAGCCTTACAATAAACTCAAATAATATCTTCTTTCACAGTATCACCTGATCACTTTATATTTCAACTTACTGAATCTCGTCTTACTGTTCTTAAAATGGAATCACAGTCTCAAAATATGTAACTTCTAAAACCTGTCGTACTGCAAACTTTTCAGGACATTTATATATTTGTATTTAGTTGTGTAATACCTGAAATACAATATGTATTAAACACTCTCAGGAAACTGTAATTCAGTAATGATGGCAAACTCCGTCTTAAACTATAAACAAAAGGGTGGCGGTAAGGGCTAAACGCATCCAAAAATCTTTCCTTAACCTAAATACAATCTCCTCCAAACATCGTATCTCTCTTCCCTATCCAAAACCAGTACAGGAAATGTGTAAATCCCACCTTTATACATCACACATAACATTGAATGCATAGCACTTAGTTGTTTCCAAGAATGTTTCTTTCTCCGTGACCAGAAAACACGTAAGCTCCCTGTGGGAAGGACAGTTCCTATCTCATCTTTTGTACTCTATTCCGAGAGCCTTGAAAGCACCTTCCATGCAGCAAGTGCTTCTAGAGTCCTTTCACTGTTTAATTCTCCTTCTACCACCACCACTACTCCCTCCCCAGTCAGTCTCTGGCAGGAGTGATAAAATACTTCCTTCTATGAGATTGCTAAAATATCTGTATTAAGCAGTAGTATAAAAGAAACAATCTCCACTTTAAAAGTAAGGTTATAGTAAGGTTCCTAGGAAAAATTGATGTATATTTTTCATATATCACTGATAAATGCAAGGTATCTGCATTCAATATACAGTGTTAACATATGAAAATAATACGCTTTCACCTTAAAACAGATAGCATGCATCATCAGTATTATTAATGTTGGTTCTTCTACAGTAAACTAAAATATTCTTTCCATACCTGTTAACTTTGGATTTTTTCCAGTTGACCTTTTTAATACCCAAATCCACATATGATTCAGTCAGTTCTATATTTAATTCTCCTTCTGAGTCACTTGGATGTATTCCTAGTTTTGCAGCAGATTCATAGAGAGAAATTTCATCTTTTAGTTCTGTTAATTCTTCCTACAACACAAAATTATTAAAAATAATTTTCATTATTTTCCTATATGAAGAAATCGGTCATTCTATGTTTCAAAATTTGTTTTAATGATCAACAGAAGGCAAAAAAACTTCTTCAAATATATTATTAGTATACATTATACTTTATAAAGGCCAGCATATGTCAGGTTTTCAAGTAAAACCTAAATGAATGAGAAAACAAACATAAGGATTTCCTCTCACACCTGTCTCTTAGATTTTGTCCTCTGTGGAAAGTGGTGTGTTCCTTGGACTGAAATGCTGATGGTGGCACTTTCTGGTTTACTATAGTACAGGACAAAGTACGCTGGTTTGCCAAGAACGTGTTGTACTATAGCCTGCCAGTGGTGAAAAGGCAAAATACCTCTTTCGGTGGAGGTAATAATGGAACTCTTCTCCCATATTTTCCTCCCCCTCCAGTGGAAAATTAAGTAGCACTGGAGGAGAACATGACAGAACTGCAGCAAAATTCAATATTCCTCACCCCCACAGATGAACTGATCTCTGGGATACACCCAAAGATGAAAGGACATGCCACTTGAAGGAGGTGGCAGGGAGACTGGCAGGAAGTGCAGGGCCTTGGCTCTGCAATTAGTCAGACTTAGGTTTGACTTGCCAACTGTGTGAAGGAGATGGTGAACAACTCCCATGGGCTGGTTTGAAGGTGGTCCAACCACCTCTATTATACAAAGAAACCCAAGATTCAAAAAGGTGATGTAACTACTGCCTAATTCAGATACCCATAGAGTCTCTTCCAAGTGGTAACACTCACTTGCAAAGCCTTGTTCATGTTTTCACTCATAGTATGTGCCTTCTGTGCTTGCTGCAGCTGGAATTGTAGCTGAGCCACCTCTTGTACTGACCCTGCAAAGGAAAGAACCGTAGGATACACTGAAAAAATGTAAGGGGACAAAGTAGTTACGATCTACAGAAGACTTGAATCCACTGAGGCTACAGAAAGTAAAGTTCTGCTTTATTACTACTGTCTCTTTAGAATACATAGAGCCCATGGGACCCAGAAGGCATAGGTCTGGGCCAGACATTTCCCAGATTTAGTATGGCATCCTATATGACCTTGGGCAGTTAAAGGCATGGGCTACTATGACCTTTTTATGAATCAAATCAGCCTTATCTACAGACCTTAACATTCCAGAAGTCCTTTAATAGGAGGATAACACTCCAACTCATGGAAAGCCAAAGAAAAAATTCTTTGGAACCCATTTCTACCCTGCAATAAGAAAACTACATTGTGCTGCCTTTAACTTCTTTGTAAATGCTTTTCTATCCAGCATCCCCACCTCCACATGTAAATGAAGTATATTAGGTTTATAATTCTGAAACTTTAGAAACCTAATATTTTAAATGTACTGGGCAAGGTGGTGGGGGGACTGTTCCCAATTTAAAAGGGACATTATTAGGTTTCAAAAGAAAATGACCATCTGGGAAATGATTAAGTGAAGCAATGATGGCATAAAGAAAATAATATTTTCAAAGCATTTAACAGCCAGGAAAAAGGCTCACCGAGTAATGCCAAATGAAAACAATGGCTATAAAACTAAACAGGGAGAGGCCCTTAATAAAGCATAATCCAAATTTTGCCCCCTACCAAGACACATATACACATATATTTAGGCAGTCTTTGACTTTAGTACTTTCAGCTTTTGAATAACCCACCCTTTCACATATTGTACCAACAGTCTAAATTACCTTTCATATGCCAAAGTGTGACTTTCATGTATCAGTTAATGAGTAACTGTTGACCTGCTTTCACAATGTGAGCTACTTACCAGCAAACAGGGAAGTTTTGTCTATATAGCGGTGTTTGTACAAACGTGATTTTATTGTTCTTTGCTCTAATATCATTTTATAAAAATTAATAAGAAATAAAACAACTGCTGAAACTAAAATGATAGGAAGCATATGTCTCAAACTTAATACCATAAAGACCATATTACAAATCTGAAGCATGACAAAAATGTAACTCTCTGGCCTCAACTGACTAGGTAAGTCACTATTCCATCATGAGGGGAGAAATATGACAGAAGTCGTACAAAGGATAGAACTATATGATCAAATATTGGGCCTAAAAAAGCAAAATATAATGCGATTTTAAATCATTTTCAGTTTTCAGGAATAGAAATTACCTTATAACGTATTTTATTGTTCATTTTTTGCATGTTCAGCTTTAGTATGTTTTCAGAAATGCATTACATAAAGAAGCAGGGCATTGTCTATGTGTGTACATTCATTTCATTTGAAGGAAATACATTCAAACACTAACAATAATTATCTCAGTAGAATGACGGTTATTTTTATTTGGTACTTTATATTGGTCTCCAGGTTCCAAATTATTTAATAAAAACAAACTAAACCTTTATATATATATTTTTTCTTTTCTTTTCTTTTTTTTAAGAAATTTATTGCTGATTGTGATTTCTGTCCCTTCTGGATTTTTACAATTCATGGATCCTACTATATTCTTTCTGCATATTGAACCAGCCTTCTGGGGAGACAGTGGCCCTACCAGACACCTACCGGACTGCAACAAGTGGGCACACTGCTTTTGACTCTCCTCTAGACTTCTCGTCAACCTATTAATGATCTCAGTCTTTTCTAACTTGATTGCTTCTTGATTCCTTTCCAGTTGTTTCACATGATCTTTCAAACGAGAGCAAATGTCTTCCTAAATAGAAAAAAAGTTCAGGAAGTCATTTTCGTAAAGAGTTTTAATAAAGAGTAAACTAAAAATTATGATACATAATTAGATTTGATGTCAAACACAAGATCATCACATGGGAGCATCACCTCTTTTACAAGGTAGAGGGCACAGAACTGGGAGTGAAGAGCTTGGGTGAAGCTTCAGCTCTTCAGTCTGTTTCTTCTTTTGTAATTATGCTAATAATAATTATGCTTCTTTTGTAATTATGCTAAAGTTTCCTTCGACTCTATATTCACAAGACAATATTATTCAAAAATTAGATTTTATTCAAGCCAAAGAAAATGTATTACATTCCTATACATATTTTATACTGTCAGTATTAAGTGTATGTATATATATTTAGGCAGACTACTTTGAATCATGCAATTTGTATCCCAAAACAGTAAGGATACAGACAAACACATGAAAACTCACTGTATTCTAAGCAGCCAAAAGTTCATTCCATTAAGAGCAGCCAAAAATAATCTTTCCCTCCTCTGAAATTCTGTTAAACTTGATCTATTTCTCTCTTATCTTTCTCCACCTTTTAGACATCTTACTTCTCTTAACAGCCCCCTTGAAGGTGCTTCTGCAGTGCGTTAGACATATCAAGTGCTGTAACAAACACTTAAAAATAAATGACAAAGAAAAATAGGGTAAATGTGTATATGTATGTGTGTAACTATATGGGATTACATAAAATACAGAGTGTGTATGCAATATACTCAAGTTTCTTCCAAAAGAAAATGTGTTTGGGTGTAATGAACCACGGGAGCCCCGAGTCCAGGTAGAATAAATACACTGCCGAAATTATCACCTTTCTTTCAAAAAAGGCTACAAAGGCTGAATTCCAGGCAAACAGCAGAGCATGGGAGAGGCAGAGGAGTGAATTAAGTTAATTAATTGAAATTACCCGAGAAAACCTAAAGAAAATAAAAAATAAGAAGAATACTGAGAAAGGGCTTTGAAGTAGAGAAAAGGCCTTAGGCTTTTGCTGCCTGATCCACAGTATAACCTAAAGCCCAATAATACCTTAAGGATTCTAACACAAGGTACATCCCAAACGAGCAGTAACAGAGAAGTACCTTGAAGCAAAGAGACTCCGAAGTCTCCCATTTTAGCTTAAAAATTCATGTGAATTTTGTATTCTATTTCATAATGAAGCTGTGTTTGCTTTAAATTTTTTCTACTAAATTTTTGAGCAAAATGAAGCTTCTGGAAACTAGTCCATGTTTATTCAGCACTGCAAACCTCCTGGCACACTGCTGCTAATTCCAGGCCAGCTTGAGAAACCTGGTTCTAAAGCACCAAAGTAACGTGGCAAACACAATGAATGAGCTCATATTAATGACAGCATGACAGTAATGACAGCGAGAAGGGGTGGGGAGACTACTAATATTTATATTCTGGGGAGGTCACAATAGTATTAACGAAGAACTGGGAACTACCAAACAAACTTAAAGAAAAGGTAGGTATAAAAAAAATTGTAAAGAAAAGGCAGATTCTGCCAATAATTTGACTATATGTTACAACCAATTAAACTATGGTGTATCCTGTTGACAAGTTCAGGAAAACAGATCATACTCATAAAACTTTAAAGTTTTAATACCAAAAATCAAAAAAGGATGAGTAGTTCAACGCTGGCCATGATTAGCTTGAGTAGTTCAAGATTGATATGGGCAGACATTTTTCAAGACTGAGACAAGTGTAATGATAAAGAGATGATGGCTGAACTCCAGCCTGGGCAACAGAGCGAGCCTCCATCTCAAAAAAAAAAAAAAAAAAAAAAAGGAAAGAGAGATGATAGAGATGACAGCTGAATCTGTGGGAGGGAAAAGAACTGGACAGGGTTCTAGCGCACAGGAAAATGAGGACTGGACCACACACAGAGAAGTCTGTGGGAGTCTGTAAGCCAACAGAAAGTGTTCAAAGTGGAGCCTTTAAATATAACATTAAAGAAAAGGTAGAAGGTTATGACATAGAAACCGAAGTCCATGACTTCACCAAAAGCTGAAGATTTCAAGGAGATGGAAGGAAAAAAGTAATATACCAACAAGGAGATAATCAGAGATCTTAACATGACATTTCTATGAATGGCAGGAGGTAAAAGTCAGTTTGATGGAGAGAGCCCAGGAGATAGTTTACTAGGAGAGAACTATGACATTGGAGGAACACTGTGAGCTCCAAGAAGCCATTTCTTTCACCTTTTCTGTCTCACTAAAAAAATTCAAGGGAAAATCAGCCAAAAAAAAAAAAAAAGAACTATTATAATATGTTGTGAGTGCATACAGTCTTTTCTACCCAGAAAAGCTGGTGTCTTAAGAAAAACTCTAATAATTTTATGATCCATAAATTTCTCAAAATATACTAGTTACAGACTTTTTTTAAAATTTTAGATTCAGGGGATATGTGTACAGGTGTGTTACATGGGTATGTGGCATGATGCTGAGGTCTGGGCTTCTGTTAGGCACTTTGGAATCACCACTTTGCAAAGCAGCTATGCAATTATATGCAGAGCCTAACACCAGTGCCATGCTCTGTTAAAAATAAATAAATAAAACAAAGTAAAAGAACATAACAGTGGGAAAATACCTTAACGCCTTCAATTTATGTGTTGAGGAGTCTGAAGCCCACCCAGCACAGAATCAAGAATTTGTTCTGACTTTAGTGTAGAGTTCTTCTAGTGGTGGTGGTGGGGGGCGTGCAGTGGACAACAGAGAATGCAGTGGGCACAGGAGTAGAAAACATTATAAATTCCTTCCAACCCATCCCTAATGAAACTGTGTTGAAGTCAACAGAGAATGGAGATCCTGAACCCAATAAGGAAAAGCCACCAGGATCCATTCTTCTCTAGTCATCCAAGAAGGGCTAGTGTCCAAGTCCAACTAACTTCAATGTTACCCTGTGTTTGGCCAAAATTAACTTTAAAATAAAATAAATAAAATAAAAATTTATGAAGCGACATCTCAAATTCTATTTGTTTAAATATTCTATAAAGTAGACTTTTCAATAATTTGGGATAGCCTTCTTTTTTTTTTTTCCTGGAAACAGAGTCTCACTCTGTTACCCAGACTGGTGTGCGGTGGTGCAATCACAGCTCACTGCAGCCTCGACCTCCTAAGCTCAAGCAATCCTCCCACCTCAGCCTCCCAAGTAGCTGGGACTACAGGCACATGCCACCATGCCCAGCTAATTGTTTATTTTTTTTTTTGTAGAGACAAGGTTTCATTATTTTGCCCAGGTTAGTCTCGAACTCATAGGCTCAAGTGATCCACCTGCCTCAGCCTCCCAAAGTGCTGGGATTATAGCCATGAGCCACCATAACTGGCCTTCATCTTTCCCTACTCCTATATATCCTCCACATTGATCAAATTCACAATGTTTTTTCTATATAAAATAAATACACAATGAAATAGATACAATAAAAACTCATGTAAATACATGTAAAAATAAAATAAAATGATAAACAATTATTGCCAGTAACGCACTCCTATATAATTCTACCTAAAAGCATGGAAAAATTAGAGGCAGCTATACAGGTCAGAAATAACCCAAATCGGCATGAATTTTAAGTGTGGTGAAATTTTCCATACCCTCAAATCAATTTTGAAATTATGTTAAGAAAAATGCATTCTGAAATGTTATTCACTAAAGTGATTACCTAGAGTTATGGAGCACAAGCAAACTCACCACCTGACTCACATTAGCTTTCAATATTTTATTCCCCCTTGAGTGAAAACAATAAAAATTCACTATGCAATATGCTCAAGATACACATCTCTTTAAGATTCAAATCTGATTAATCTCATCAGGCTGTCTTCTTTATTTCGTAAATTATACTGTCTTCAAAATTTACTTTCCTCCCAAGAATCATTTCTCAACAGACTGTATTGACAGGTGAATTACCAAATGCTGGCAGACTCAAGTAAGGCTTTCTACCGATTAAGCTTCCAAGGTAACCTCTCAGTTTCCAGCCAGCCGCTGGCAGACTCATTTGTTTTGGTCTGGATTTATTCTAGGACCATATAAACAATATGCACAAATACTCTACAAATAAAGGACAAGTAATGTGAAAGTTGAGAAAGTACTAATAATCATATAAGAAGAAGTAGAGTTTCCAAAAGTATATCTTTAGGATGTATTCTCAGATTAAAATATCACTGGTTTTTTTGTTGTTGTTTTTTTTTTGGTCAGATGGAGTCTCACTCTGTTGCCCAAGATGGAGTGCAGTGGTACAATCTCAGCTCACTGCAACCTCCACCTCCCGTTCAAACGATTCTCCTGCCTCAGCCTCCCAAGTAGCTGGGATTACAAGCGTGCACCACTGCACCTGGCTAATTCTTTTTTTTTTGTATTTTTAGTAGAGACAGGGTTTCACCATGTTGGCCAGGGTGGTCTTGAACTCCTGACCTCAGGTGATCCGTCCGCCTTGGCTTCCCAAAGTGCTGGGGTTACAGGCATGAGCCACTGTGCCCAGCCAATATCACTGGCTTTTAAGTTTCACTCACGTCCCACACAATCTAACATTTACTACAAACATTCAAGATTTCTATATGATGAACCATAAAATATCAGTTACAAAACTTAACCAGCTTTACTTGTTGATAACAGTTGCTCATTTGAAATCATCCCAACCTGTTCTTTAAGTGCGGTGACTGTGGCATCCAAATTCTTTTGTAAGGACAATACTTGCTCTTCGTACTTCTTTGTGAGGCCCATAACAATGCTCTCATGCTGTTCTCTAGCTCGTTGAAGTGATTCAGAATGATGAAGGTCCACCAGCTGCTGCTTCAAGTTTTCCAGAGCCATTTCAGTTGTTCTGGACTTCTTGATCATCTAGTAATACACACAGGATATCCATGTTTAAAATATACACAGAGTATTTTAGCTCTGTGCTGTCAATAAACTTTTACTTTTACTATATACTAAAACTCAAGCATGTTTTAATGAGAGTAGAGAAGGGGTCTCCACTCATCATGGCTCAAGCTCATTAAAACATCCCTAGCTGGGAACCTCCAGGCCCACAGTTGTTGGAAACAATGTTCCCTGAGAAAATACATTTGGTAGTTACCTGAGGGGAGTGAAAGAGAATTTTGCGCAGCATGGTGGATGTGGCTATCAGGCACGGAATCTGCGCTGCTGTGATGGCCCCAGTGCTGTTTGCATTGCTCTATGACCAAAGTGTGGGGTAACCCAATTGTTAGGTCATAAACAAATGACAACTGTTCCTTGAAAGACTGATGAAACTTGTCAATGGTCACTTTTTAAAAACAAAGTTTTCAAAGCTCTAACTGCACAGTTGATATTGTAGGCAAAATCATAGCCCCCCGAAATGCCCATGTCCTAATCCCCAAAACCTGTGAATAAGTTATATTACATGACAAGGGAAAATTAAGATTGTACATGGAATTAATATTGCTAATTAGACTGCCTTAAAATAAGGTGAGTAGCCTGGATTATCCAGGTGGGCCCAGTGTAACCACAGGGTCCATAAATGAGGAAAGCTAAGGCAGAAAAGTCAGAACCAGAAAGACTTATTAACCAGCCATTCATTGCTGGCTTCGAACATGGAAATGGGCCACAAGCTAAGGAACACAGGTGGCCTCTAAAAGTTGGAAATAGCAAGAAAATGGATTCTCCCCTAAAGCCTCCGGAAAGCAATGCAACCTTGCCGACACCCTGATTTTAGCCTAGTGACATCCATGTCAGACTTCTGACCTCCAGAACTGTGAGATAAATTTGTGTTGTTTTAAACCACTGAATTTGTGGTCATGTTACAGCAGCAATAGGAAACTAATACACTTGGTGATTCTGCTGCTTACATAAAAAGATTACAAAGTTATAACCTTTCACTACATAAAAACAACTTAACTTTTGAATCTAGTAACTACTGGTTTTCAAAAAGTTAAAAATAATCTATATTACATACAAAAATTAAAATTTCAAAAGAGAATTATTTTTCATTCTATTCCAGAGATTGCCTATTTATTCCATACTGCTTTCATTGCTAAGAGATCCATCCACTGAATGACATAGATAATTTGTGCCAGGCAGGGTTCTAAGCACTAAGCACATAATGACCACACAGAAAAGGTCTAAGCTCTTACTACTTTCTAGTGGGAAGATACAATAAATAACAAGTAAACAAATGAGACCATTTCAGATAGTTATAGAGTAATAGAATATGGTGTAATGAAGGTGAGTTGGAGGATGCAGCTATGGGCTACCTTACATATAAAGTGAATAAGAAGTCCTCTGAAAAGGTGACTGTTTTTAGCTAAGACCTGAAGGATGAGGAGGAGCCAGACATGAGACAACACTGTTTAAACTCTTTCATTAAACCATCCTCAGACTTAGCTACAAGTCTCAGGCAAAACCAAGCTCGTTATTTCATAGTCATTTTCTTTTTTTTTTTTTGAGATGAAGTCTCACTCTCGTCCCCCAGGCTGGAGTACAGTGGTGCGATCTCAGCTCACTGCAACCTCTGCCTCCCAGGTTCAAGCGATTCTCCTGTGTCAGCCTCACGAGTAGCTGGGATTACAGGCACCTGCCACCACGCCCGGCTAATTTTTGTATTTTTAGTAGAGACAGGGTTTCACCATGTTGGCCAGGCTGGTCTCGAACTCCTGACCTCAGGTGATCCACCCACCTCGGCTTCCCAAAGTGCTGGGATTACAAGTGTGAGCCACGGCGCCCGGCCGTCACTTTCATTATTAACCCTGCCCTCTGCCAAAAAATGAATCAACCACCACCAGGCTTAGCTACCAATGACTTATGACTATTTCAAAAAATCAAATGGCTATCTCATTAATCAAACAATGTGAATGTGTCATCACTTTAAACTCAAGTCTAAAGAACAGTTCTCCAAATGGAGAAGCAGCAGGAAAAATAAAAATAATAATTTTTAAAAAGCTTCTCGGGATACCAATTCTGAAGGAAACTATTTCAGTCAGGAAATTTAAGTTCTAATGCTTTGTCAATAACTTCAAAGTTCTTCTAAATTTAGTCCTACCCTACAAAAAGTTTTGTTAAATAACTAAATTTTTAACTTTTTTACCATACATAAGTTAAAATACGTACCTGTTCTTCATTGACTTTTAATGCTTGTATTTGAGTCTCCAGTGCTTTTATTTGAGCTTCAAGCTGTATCTCTCTTTCTTTTCCATTCTGAAAGAGTTTCTGTGATTCTCGAAGGCTGAGAGTCAAACCATCCTTTTCATCTATGGTATTAAAAATGTTTATATAAATAATGCTACTGTAGAGGGACCCCAATGTCATAATCCCTATCAGATATCACATCTGTATCATATATAAATGTTGTTGAATTAAATTTAATTCAGAAAAATGAACTTTAGTTGATTTAGAGAAAACCAAATTATTTATTTATTTATTTATTTATTTATTTTGAGACAGGGTCTCGCTCCATCACCCACGCTGGAGTGCAGTGGCACGATCGTGGCTCACTACAACCTCAGCCTTCCGAGTAGCTGGGATTACAGGCACCTGCCACCACTCCCAGATAATTTTTATATTTTTAGTAGAGATGGGGTTTCACTATGTTGGCCAGGCTACTCTCGAACTCCTAACCTTAAGTGATCCACCCACCTCAGCCTCCCAAAGTGCTGGGATTACAGGCGTGAGCCACCTCACTCAGTCTCAAATAAAGAAATTATTTAAAAGTAAAAATTAAAAAAAAAATCCTGACACCAAAAAAATTTTTTTAGAGAAGCAGAACTACTTCCTTTAAAAATATTATTGTATTCCTTTTGGGGACAAACCCCTGCAGGACTAATTATCCTACACATACTTGCAATGAACTCTTTTTTTTTTTTTTTTTTAACGGAGTCTCTTTTTTTTCTGTCTCCCAGGCTTGAGTGCAG